TTGTTTTTTTTGGTTTTTTTTTTTATTTATTTATAAGTAAAGGATGTTGTGGCTATTTTATATTTATAGCTAGTAATAATAATAATGTTGGTAATTAATTATAACATTAATTATTTCCTAAACTATTATAGTTAAGATTATAAAAAATAAAACACACAATTTTTTTTTCAATTATTCAAGACATACCGTATTAATGTGGAGTAAAAATGTGAGAGTATAATGATAATTAAGATGTAATTGTCAACTCTAAATATTATTGTAAAGTTTAACGTTATCATTTCTTTCATTTCCCAGAAATACTTGTTGGGTAATGAATGAAGACACTTTTCTAATATGAATTTTACGATTTTTTTAAAAATTTAAATTTGCATGCTATTCATTTTTAAAAATTATTTATTTTTTTTTGGAGAACAAAAATTATTTTAATATAAACATGATTTTAACACTGAACACTAATATTGAGTGTTTATTTTTGCTCAACGCACCTACAAAAACTAATTTGATTACTAAAGGTAACAAAAAGCAGATTGACGCTACTACATTCCCCCTAAATTCTTGAGTTTTTTTTTTCCTTGTGTAGAAGGGAGGGACCTTAAGGTTCAGAATATTAGTAGAATCTTCTCGTGGTGACATTCAATGCATCGCGATCAAAAAATTCTCTTAGGCCGTCACAAGGATGATCCAGGATAGAAATGTCCTAAAGCGTAGCTTGTCTTATGTTGTCTAGAAAGTCAACATATTAATTGTCCTCACAAAGCACATACTTCACCTCAATATCCTGAAATTGTTTCATGAGGAACCTACATTCGCGGATTAAAGTATCAGCTTCCAGGTTGGATCCTGTATCTTTGCCCAAGGCAACAATTTTGCTAAGGCCAAGGTTTTTAGCTAGTTGCAAGCCTTCTCGAAGCCCCCAGAGTGAGGCCACGAAAGCTTATCTTCTAGTTCGTTGTTGATGGAAATAGGGATAGCCCGGATGCAGTTGATGACGCTAGGCATGAGCTCTTCGAGAGCGATGGTGTCCCAGGAATTGTCATCCGTAATAAAGTCTTTAACTTGAGTTGTTAACAAATATTAGGGAAAATTGCATCTTTAGTCTCTAAGTTATAACTAACTTCTGAGTACTAACTTCTGATTCAGTTAGTTATAACCGTATCTAAGTTTAGTTACTTAGTTATGAGCGAAGTGGCGAGTTTGGTCCCCAACGTTAATATTTCTGCAACTAACGGAAAACTTAAAAATAATTTAATAATAGAGGGGTAAAATAGAAATTTCAAATTATAATAATCTCATTCTTATGTTGAAATCCATTGCGCAACAGTCATTCTTTTTTTCTTATACCTATAATCGAAGGTCTTTTTCTTTCCTAAGTTCTGAAATCTCATATCTGTCCACTTCCAAGCTACAAAATTCACAGGTAAGTTGTTTCTCTATTTTATATGTTTAAATAAATAATCAATATTCTCCGTATTGATGAACTAATTAGCCATTAATTATAGAATGTCATCTCTTAGTTGTGGTACTTCATCTTTACCCAAATTTGGGGATAATTTTTTATGTAAATGTGATAATTTATTACCAATCAAAATGTCATGGAGTTATGCTAATCCAGGGAAAAGATACCAAGCTTGTCCACGTTATGGAGTAAATTTTTGTATTTGTCAAAAATTGTAATTTATTTTTTTATAAATAGAATTGAAATATTGAAATTTGTTTTTTCAGAACAACGAGGTAGGGGTTTTTCGCTGATTACATAAGCAACTTAGAGCTTTTGTCAATTTGCAGGGAAAGTATTTTGGCTAAGTTTGTAAAAGGGGTAGGGAAACAAGTTATATTACATACAAGTTGTATTAAGAAATTTACTTTTTTACCCTTAGAATTAACTCTATCAACACATGCACCACTAGCGTGACTCAGTGTGAGGGACCAAACTTGCCACTTCTTTCATAACTAAAGGACTAAAAATGAATACAGTAATAACATAGGGACTGAGTCGTCACTACGATTATAACTCAGGGACCAAACTCGTCATTTTCGTTAAATATAAAGATATTTATTTGTGAGTACTAGGAGCGTAATTAATAAAGAGAAAATAACATCTATCTATCTAACATTATATATAATCATAATCTCTATTAGAGATTATAACAAAGCAGAAACTTTTAAAAAATAAAGGGAAAATGGCAATTTTTCCCCCTATGTTATATACTTATAGCACTTTTTCCCCCTCAATTATTTATGTAAGCACATTAGCCCCCTCAATTATTTTAAAAGTGGTGGTTTTCCCCCATAATATATTAAATTGACATTTCTACCCTTAAAGTAAACATTTTATTTATTTTACTTCTCCAACAAATTATTGCGTATATGTAGCGATTACCACGGTTCGGTTCGAACTGAACCAGACACTATAGCAATCGAATTAAAAGTTTTCAGTTATGATTCAGATCTAGAACCCAATATTTGGATTTCAATTTATTAAATTTAAGAATAAAAAAAAAACTGGATCATGAACCGGCGGTTCCGGATCCCGTTCGCGATTTTGAACCGTCTTTATTTAAAAATTTTATTTTTTATTTTAAAATAGTTTAAATTCAACAATAAATGTATTTTATTTTTTCAGTTCGGAACATGAACCGGCCATTCCAGTTCGCGATTTTAATAAACTCTAAATATCGCGTTTTGATTATAAATTGTAATTGGAATATTTTGGTTTGGTTACTATAGTATCTGGTTTGAACCAAATTATAGTAATAATTTATTGGAGAATAAAAATAAATGAAATATTTATTTTAAGGGTAAATATGTCCATTTAACATTTCAGGGGGAAAAAGAGCCACTTAAATAATTGAGGGAAAAAAGTGCTATAAGTATATAACATAGGGGGAAAAAGTGCCATTTTCCCAAAAATAAATTAAAAAAAAATCGCCCAAAAGAATATTCTCAAACCTCAAAAAATGCATTTAATTACGTTACCAAAAAAAATCCCACCCAAAACAGTATTCTCAAACCTCAAAAAATGCATTTAATTACGTTACCAATAAAATGCATAATTTAATTTGATGGGTGTAACCCCCAATCTAATTTAAAATAATTAATTATTATATTTATATATTATAATCATATGTCGGATACATATATAATTATACATTATACATAACATATCTTTTATATAATTATATATATACATACAATTCTATTTGTACATAATATTCAATAACAAGTTTTTTTTTTTAATATAATTGTAATTCATTCCTCCAAAAGATTGAACCCCAACCCTTAGGCCCCCCAACACCCCGACTCGACAGAGCATCTGGGAGGATGTAAATCATGGTAACTCAACTGAACATGAATCACAAAGGCTAGACTTTTGCTCACTTTGTACAAGGAATCCCCCTCACTTTGAGAGGTTCTCCCACACTGTCGCTGGTGAGACAACTTCAAATAATTTATTTATTGTACTTCAATTACCTGTATCATAAACAATTTCAAATAATTTTAATAATTATTTATCCATTATAACATTACAAACAAATTTTTAATATTTAACCGTGCATCGCACGGGACAATACTAGTCATCATCATTAATAAAGCAACAACTTTGGGCTAAAAGTTTTCCCACCTACAAAATTCGGCGTCATTTTAAGAATATGTATGTATATTAGTTGTGTATACATATCAATATATCATATATGTGGGTGTTAGCTTAGTATTATTTAAAAAAAAAAAAAAATTAAACTCCACATACCTGTTTGAACACTTTGAAATCTGAAAACATTTTTTGAAAATGGAATATAATTGTTTTTATTTACAGTTACTTGTGTGTTTTTGGTGTTTGGCAATGCATGTTGCATCAATTGTTATACCCTACACCACGGCGCGTAGCACTGTGAGCGGCGCGCCTCCCAAAACGACGTCGTTTTGGAAGACGCGGTAGGAAGTTGCTGTGATTATGTATATTTGTTCACACAATTATGTATATTTGTTCATACAATTATGTATATTTGTTCATACAATTATATATATTTTTTTATACAATTATGTACATTCTTTTTATACAATTATGTACATCCGAATCAGAAAATTTGTGTGTATTATGTTAAGAGTTGATGTGTATTATGTTAAAAGTTTATGTTTATTATGTATTATGTTAGATTATGTGTATTATCTTTTAAAAAGAGTATGTATATTTTGTTATATAATTATGTACATTCATGTATACTATTATGTGTATTCTAGTATAACATTATGTACATTTTTGAACATGGTTTTTTTTTAAAGAAAAATTAACTGCCATACACTGAGGCGGGAAATTTCAACAAAAAAAAAATAAAATTAAATTAAAACAACGTCGTTTTGCATCTGGGCGCACAGTGCAACGCGCGCCGTGGTGTAGGATATAAATTGCCATGTTGCATAGGTACATGTTTTTTTTTTTTTTTTTTTGCAAGAACTAAATATGTGATATTTGAATAGGCTATGAAGTTTTTATAATATGAATTTAGGAATTCATGTATTTGAATAATAATGGTACATAAATACAGTATAATGTTGAATAAACACTTAGTACACTAAAAAATCTAGTTGATTTCCTTCACCATCTTGATAACCCTTGTCAGAGATTGCATGATTGAATTGGTAACTGAGTTTGTTTGCTGCCTTATGTTTCCATTTAGAGTCTGCATAAAGTTAGATAACAACAAAAATAGAAACACAACAGTAGACATATAGTACAGTAAAGCAATTTTTTTTTTTTTTGACCAATAATAAATCAGCATGACAAAATGATGATATAAGTCCAATAAAATATCACTCAATAACATTCATAGCATTGTGCCAGTGCTATGAATAACCCTGTATGTGTGCTTTGAAGTACTATCATAGCTTTCAGATCTCTATTCAAAAGATTTCCATCCTTAGCCCTAATGTGGGCTTTTTATTCCTCCAGCATACATTTAGATATACAGAAAAATAGAAAGTACAATGTAGATATTTAGGAATGATTTAAAAACATATGACATAGGTAAATCATCGACAAAAAGTTTTAATTAGTCCAATCCACAACAAAAAGTAGGTTTGATAGCACTGCCACATTGCTATTGATTCAGAATGTCCCAATACCAGACCACAAAAAAGATAAAATACCACACAAAGGTGGTATATTGTCTCAAGCCAATGACCACTTCTGAAATACACTCAGAAATTAAATTTTTTCTTGCTTAACAGTCACATTTTTGTCTTCTTAAGTTTGTTTGATGAAGAGAATTGGTCCATAAGGGATTTCTTCACACCATTTGAGTCTTCAAAGTCAGTGTCAAGCCTTTTGGACTATTCTGCACTGATTAGGCTGTTTACTTCATTTCCATTAGAAGCTTCTTGTTAATTTTAAAAATATTAATTTTTAACCACAAAAAATTTTTTTAAAGACATTTTTTTGTGAAATATAAATAATTACCTGATCTGATTCATCATCCTCCACTTCATCCTCATTTATCATTTTAGGCATCAAATCTTTTTCTTGGAATTGGTTCTCCTTCAATTTTGAACCGTACGTAGAGACTAAGAGTTCATCCCTCAAAACTCTCATAATAGTAAAGGCTGGAGTAGCTCCCTTCATTTGGTTCATTTTTAATGATATCTTAAATATCATTGTCATTCCAATTAAGGATTCCAATTCTTTTGGAATATCAGACCCCTAAAACAAAGACAAAATCCATTTTTTATAAACAAACCACTAAAAATAATCCTTATAAATGTTAGTTTATCATATTACCATTTTTTAGGAATGTAAGTTTACCTTGTTGTACAAAATGCTAGCAGGGATACCCACTAAATCTGAACACTCCCTATCCCATAAAAGGAAGGGAGAATCTCATAAATATTTATCTAGAACCCTCACTATCACCCTATACCTGATCATTCCTTCTTTATATTTTTTTCTCACAAGTTGAATAAACCAGATCATCTCCTTCTTGCTTGAGCTTTCTGTTGCATCTCGGTGACGTGCAAGAGATGTACACCCAGCCAAAAGACCCTTCAATGCCTACAATTTCAGTTGGAACATAAAATTCACCATCCTGCACTCATACATAATTTACTTGGTTAGATATAAATGATTTGGAATATCAAATATGTATCATATTCAATAAAAGAGATTTTAGGGTTTAGAAACAAAACAATCTCACCCCCTTTTTTCCTAGAGATCACCCACTGAAGTGACAATCACAACACCACTCTTAAAATCAGAAATACCTGTAGACTAGGACAGTACTGATACTGTGTACAGGACTGCGAACATCATTTAACCTACACCAAAAAAAAGAAAGTTAAGATAGTATAAAATCAATTAAGTATACACACTGTGTATAAAGTATAATAGGTTAACTGTGTATATTGTACTCTAGTTACTTACTTTGACCTGAAATCAACACATTTCTGATAAGATGCATTGAAATAAAGCTTCGTAGCATCATAGGAGCTGGTGATCCTGACTTCATCTATTTTAATGATACATATGTTAATCAAATACAATGCTATTTAATACACAAGCATAAAAAAAATAGTGTAGAACATAATATGATAATTTATTATTGACAATTTTAGCACGACAAAGCTGAATAACCACAATGAGTGGTTCTTTCATATCTGCATTATAGAATGGTAGCATGACAGCTACATGATTGTCCCACACTATGCATTTTAATATATTTCCCCTATATGTAAATGTGTTAGAAATACAGATTCTCATTTTAAAGAAATAAATAGATGAATTGTATGCCGTTTACTCATTGTCAGCAATTTTGAAGTCTATTAGCTTGGCTGGTTAATCACTAATGATTTTGTCAACACGAGCATGAATTTCAATTACTCTGCTTATTACATCTTTAAATACAGAGAATACGTCAAGATTGATCCTAAATATTTAATGAAAAATAGCATAAAATGAAAAAGTTTACTTAGAATTTCTTCATTTTATGCTATCTTTCATTAAATATTTAGGATCAATCTTTATGTATTTTCTGTATTTAAAGATGTAAAGGGCAGAGTAATTGAAATTCATGCTCATGTTGACAAAATTATTGGTGGTAAACCATCCAAGCTAATAGACTTCAGAATTGCTGACAATGAGTAAGTTGCATATAATCCATCTATTAATTTCTTTAAAATGAGAATCTGTATTTCTAACACATTTACATATAAGGGAAATACATTAAAATGCACAGTGTGGGACAATCATGTAGATGCCATGCTACCATTCTATAATGCAGATCTGAAAGAATCAACATTGTGGTTATTCAACTTTGTCGTGCTAAAATTGTCAATGGTAAATTATCCTATTATGTTCTTTACTATTTTTTTTTTATGTTTTCCTATTAAATATCATATTATTTGATTAACATATATATCATTAAAATAGGTGAAGTCAGGATCACCAGCTCTTATAATGCTACGGAACTTTATTTCAATGCATCTTAACAGGAATGTGTTGATGTCAGGTCAAAGTGACTAGAGAACAATATACACAGTTAACCTATTCTACTTTATACACAATATGTGTATCTCAACTGGAGATTATTTTTGCTGTAGGTTAAATGATGTTCATAGTCTTGTACACAGTATCAGTATTGTCCCAGTCAATAGGTATTTCTGATTTTAGGAGTGGTGTTGTGATTGTCACTTCAGTGGGTGATCTCTAGGAAAAAAGGAGGTGAGATTGTTTTGTTTCTAAACCCTAAAATCTCTTTTATTGAATATGATACATATTCCAGATTATTTAAATCTAACCAAGTACATTATGTATGAGTGCAGGATGGTGAATTTTATTTCTAATTGAAATTGTAGGCATTGAAGAGTCTTTTGGCTGGGTGTACATCTCTTGCATGTCACCAAGATGCAACAAAAAGCTCAAGCAAGAAGGAGATGATCTGATTTGTTCAACTTGTGATAAAAAATATAAAGAGGAATGACCAGGTATAGGATGAAAGTGAGGGTTTTAGATAAATATTTAGGATATGCTCCCTTTCTTTTATGGGATAGAGAGTATTCAAATTTAGTGGTTATATCTCTGCCAGCATTTTGTACAAAAAGTATAATAAGGTAAACTTACATTCTTAAAAAAATGTTGATATGATAAACTAACATTCATATGGTTTATTTTTACTGGTCTGTTTATAAAAAATGTCTTTTGTCTTTCTTTTAGGGGTCTGATATTCTAAAAGAATTGGAATCCTTAATTAGAATGGCAATGATATTTAAGATATCATTAAAAATGAATCAAATGAAGGGAGCTACTCTAGCCTTTACTGTTATGAGAGTTTGGAGGGATGAGCTCTTAGTCTCTACGTACTGTTCAAAATTTAAGGAGAACCAAGAAAATGATTTGATCTCTAAAATGATAGATGAGGATGATGAATCAGATTAGGTAATTATTTGTACTTCACAAAAAATGTCTTTAAAATTTTTTTTGATGTTAAAAGTTTATATTTTAAAAATTAACATGAAGCTTCTAATGGAGATGAAGTAAACAACTCAATTAGTGCATAACAGTCCAAAAGGCTTGACACCGACTCTGAAGACTCAAATGGTGTGAAGAGATCCATTATGGACCAATTCTCTTCATCAAACAAACTTAAGATGGCAAATGGTGTGAAGAGATCCATTATGGACCAATTCTCTTCATCAAACAAACTTAAGAAGGCAACAAATGTGACTGTTAAGCAAGAAAAAAATTTAATTTCTGAGTGTATTTCAGAACTGGTCATTGGCTTGAGACAATATACCACCTTTGTGGTAGTTTATCTTTTTTTTTTTTGTGGTCTAGTATCATTCTGAATCAATAGCACTGTGACAGTGCTATCAAACCTACTTTTTGTTGTAGATTGGACTAAGTCTGAACTTTTTGTTGGTGATTTACCTATGTCATATGTTTTTAAATCATTCTTGAATATCTACATTGTACTTTCTATTTTTCTGTATATCTAAATGTATGCAGGAGGAGTAATGGGCATGTGGGCAGATTTCTAATTATGCATACAGACTTAACTAATTCATTGCAACATGCTTTACATCTATACACTGTTGTGCATAGGCTGTTTTCTATTATTTTTTGCAGGTGGTGGAGCACCTTCCTAATGGCAAACACAGAAGATGATGTTCTAAAGGGATGACTAGAAGATTGTCTATGTACTTTATAATGATTGTGTACGGGAGAATGAAACTTGATTTTTGATCTAAACCCTTCTGTACTTCTTTAATTGTTTATTTTTCTGCTAACTGAATACATAGCTTTTTCCTTATCTTCATATAAAAATATGAAATTCACAAGTTAGTCTATAAGTAAAATTCTATATATGAAATTCACAAGTTAGTCTATAAGTAAAATTCTAATCATAGTTTGCAGATGCATGCCATGAAAACTAATAAAAAATATGAAATTCACAAGTTAGTCTATAAGTAAAATTCTAACCATAGTTTGCAGATGCATGCCATGAAAACTAATAATCATAAAAAACACAAGTCACATAAACAAAATCACATTCATGTAAAAAAGTGTAATTAAAATAAATCACATTTGGTGATTTGTTACGCAAACTAAGAATTTTAAATCATTTATCTTTAAAAAAAATATGAAATTAACAAAGTATGAGTATTACTAAAATTCTATTAAAACATTGCTATAACCAACTAACTTTTTGCTTGAAGAGGATGTCCAAGTTTTCAAGAATTGCTAACACTTAATGGGAAAAGGACATAAAAATATATCTTATTTAGGCTCATGCTTAAAATTAAATAAATCAAATTGGCAGAAATGATGAATTTTCAAACTGTGAAAACAAATGAGTCATTTGAATACTTTTCAATAAATAGCACACATAAAACTCATAGTATTCCAATATATTCATAATAAAGATCAATCTTTTAAGTTGTGTTGAACCAGTTTTCAAGAAACTGATGACCTTACTCTTTCAATATGAAATTATTATTTAAGAAGTATAAAAGGGACTCCATACATCGTTAGAAAACATTTTCATAACTATCTCTCCAAACATATAGTCAGTATAACCATACTCTGAAGACAACATGAGGAAAATTACATCTTCACTCACTATTGGGTCTAAGAGGAAGCATCTGGACCAAAACAAAGGTAAATCTATCTACTATTCTGATTATTACACCACTGATGCTCTAAAAATCTTGTATGACTGAAAACTATCACAAAGGAAAGTAAATCTCAGAACACACTTAGACAGACCTTTACAACAATGACCAGAAAGTAAATCACAATAAATTAAGTTCAATAAATTACCCATAACCAATATAGTTTTGTCTCTAGCATGAATGAAGCTTTACGGTCAAATTAAATGTATACAAACATGAACATGAAAACAGTTTAGATTTAGAACAGATCTCTAACTAGGTGACGATGAATAGTAGTGTATTAAGTCAATCTTTTCCAGATTTAGGAATGAAAAAATTCATCTGTAGCAAATCGCTGTTAACTTTTTCTTTATCCCAACATGCACTTGAAAAACATAAACATCAAATGTCAGATCTCGCCCTAGGTCAGTATGATTAGTAGAGTATTAACCTTATTCCTTCCAGATTACATCATAATACAATATCTACGCAAATTTTTGAACAAAATTACATAGATTAATCAATTCGGGTTACAACATTTACCTGAATTGATTGTGAGATGAATTCTGGAGCGAAACATTATGCTGGAACTGGGTGCTGCGAACTCCCTTCCTTGCTAAGTAGTGTTGTTATGAGACATCAGATTCAAAGATCTATTCCAAAATCAAGTATTGATTTTGGAATGGATATACTGATTATACACTCAGAATGGTAAGATTAAACGGTAAATCGAGCGAGAATTTTAGAGAGATAGAGGAAGTTCTTCATCGTGTAAAGAGCTAGAGAGGTTCAGAGTGAAATGAAATGCGAAGCTTCTCGGTCCGAAAACACAAGATAAGAACAATTGACTATTACCACAAAATTAAAACTATTGTTGACCAAATAATATTAAAACTAGCTCTTTACACGATGAATTAATTTGTTTATTTATATTAATGATAATTATTTTGTTTATTTATATTAATATAGTATATAGTATATTATATTAGGATAGTTAGGATTAGGATAGTTAGTATTATTATTATTATGTATACATGGCTAGTTGTACGTGTCTGCATCTCAGATTAACAATCCAGATGGTCTGAAAATATTGATCGTAAAAGACTAAGTACAACTACTACACACAATTTATTATTTGTTATATTTATGTGAAGAAGAAATATTTTGAAAACATATTCTAAAACATTATTACGGGCATGAACTTATCTATCATAATCACTGTTGCAAAAATCGCGCCTAGACGCCGATTAGACGCTAGGCGCCCTAGGCGGTCCCTAGGCACCTAGAGGGCGCCTAGCGATTTTTTCAACATTGATCATAATAATACATTGCTTTTGAGTTTTTGGGTTCCTTTTTTTTTTTATAGCAATTTTTGATATAATTCTTTAATTACCTATCAATTTTAATTTGTTATTTAATAATTTCTAATTATTTTATTCATTGTTTGTAGAAAATTCTCTATTAGCATACAATGCTATTGTGCAACAAAATAGTTCTAATTCATCCACGGGATACACACCATTGCAATATTCTATTTCAAATATTACACATCTCTGTATATTATATTTCTTATATATATGGCTGAGTGCAACTACTAGTATTTCTAAAAAGCAGTTCACATTTTTTTTTTTTTTGTGCACGGGAGGGACCAGGAGGTCCCAAGAATTAGTAGATTCTCCTTGTAGCCACGTTTCTAGTGTCTCTTTAAAGGATGTTCCTTATGCCTTTCGGGGACTGAGTCAGGATTGTTGTCCTGCAGTTGCTGCTTTGTCCCAAGTTGGCCATAATGTCTGCACACTGGTTGCCTTCACGAAGAATATCGGTGATATCGTAGACGTGGAAACGTTTCATGATGGCCTTGCAATCGGTGATGAGTGTATTAGCTACCAAGTGAGACTCATTTTCCCCTTTAATTAACGGCGTTAATCATTGCTTCCGAGTCAATCTCCACAACAAGCCGCTCCAAACCCCTATTTTTGGCAATATTTAGGCCCTGGCAAAAAACCTAGAGTTCCGCGATAAAACTACTAGTGATCCCAATTTTAGACGTGAATCCCATGATCCAAGAACCCATGTGATTACGGAACACACCTCCCGCACTAGCCATGCCCGAATTAGCCTTCCTAGCACCGTCCATGTTGAGCTTGATCGTCCCTTGGACAGGCGACGACCAGCTAACCCATACCTTCCTCCCAAGCGTGAGCCCATGATGTTTGACCAAGAACCGTTGCGCTTCTTCGACCTTTTTCATTGTCCGCTTCACCACATCTCTTGCGACAGAATAGTGCTATTGAAGACAAATTCTAGCAAGCCTTCCAAATATTCCACAACATATACAGGAACATCAACTTCTAACTCCCCACCGTCTGGTTGTCATTTTTTTCTATCGCAATTTTCCTCGATCCAATGAAGCAGGGGGTATGCGCTGCAACATTAAAATGAGTCGGCGCACTTGGCACCGGTTCCAGCAACTCATAGCAAACTCACACCGGGCAGCCATCATCTTCTGTCAATCCATATTTTTCCTCTGTATGTTAAGAAGCATTGGCCGGATAAGGAGCTCTAAGAAAATCTTCATCTTTGATATACTTTTCGCGCAAGGCTTTCACCTATAATTTGTCCGGACAAGTAAGAATTTGTCATGCAAGTTAAGTCAAGAACTCCAAGTTGAAATCTCTCGCAGGCCTGAGTCCAAGCCCACCCATGCACATGAGCTTACACACTTTTGACCAACTCACAGTATGGATCTTTCTAGTATCTTCAAAATGACCCCAAAGGAAATTCCCTATAGATTTTATCAATATCATTATAGACACTAACCGGGAGCACCATAGCCTGCATGGTATAGGTAGGAACCGTAGTGAGTGGCGCTTAAACAATCAGTCTTCTTCCAGCCATGCTCGTTGTTAGTGCAGTAAGAAACAAAGGCAACAGAATAAAAGGAAGAGAAGTTATCTGTGTTCTCTCTGTGTTTATTCACTGTAACCAGAGCAAAATATATATACAAAGATATATTCCCAATCTTACCTAAAACACTTTAAAACAATCTACTTAAAACATGGTAAGAAATAAATCTCTACCAAAATATTATACAGTACTACCAAAATAATATACAGTATATGATCTTTACATATATAGAATAATATTACTGCTATTACCCCCCTCAAGTTGGTGTATGAAGATCTCAAATGCCCAACATGCGAATGAAGTATTGGAGTTGTCGTTGTCCCAATGCTTTGGTAAAGATATCGGCGAGTTGTACATGCGTTGAGACATAGGAAGGAGAAATAGTTCCTCTTCCAATCTCATTTCTCAAAAAATGGCAATCGGCTTCTATGCGTTTGGTGCGTTCATTTTAAACTGAATTTTTAGCCATGTGCAATGCAGCTTGACTATCACAGTAAAGTCTAATGGGTGTGGTATGCATAACCCCCAAATCCAGTAGAAGTCCCTTCAACCATTTCAACTCACAAACCGTCATTGCCATAGATCTATATTCTGCCTCGGGAGAAGATCTAGATACTGTGTGTTGCTTCTTTGTCTTCCATGAAATTAGAGAGTTTCCCAAAAGCACAAACCATCCCGTAAGCGATCTTCGAGTCAAAGGACAGCTTGCCCAATCCGAATCAAACAATCCATACAATTGTAGATCACATTCGCTTCGCAATAAAATGCCTTGCCCAGGATTTCCTTTCAAGTACCTTGCAACACGCAGTGCTGCTTGCCAATGCTCAACTCGTGGGTTTTGCATAAATTGCGACAAAACATGCACACAATATGATAAATCTGGCCGAGTGAAACATAGATAGATGAGTCTTCCAACCAAACGCCTATAACTTTCAGGATTTTCAAGTAAACTACTCTTAGACTGCATCAACCGATGATTTTGTTCCATAGGAAATCATGCAGGTTTAGCTCCCAATGCACCAATCTCAGAAAGAATATCCAATGCATACTTACGCTGACACAAATAAATTCCTTCTTGACTCCTGGCAACTTCAATGCCTAAAAAATATTTCAGCACTCCCAAATCTTTCATGCGGAAACAATCACTCAAATAATTTTTGAATGTTTGTATGCTATCATGGTCATTTCCAAAAATTATCAAATCATCGACGTACACAAGCATATTAATACGTGTCTCTCCATTTTGCAATGTAAATAGCGAATAATCTTAATAAGATTGCTTGAATCCATACCTTTTAAGAGCTGAGGACAATTTCGCGAACCAACACCTTGGTGCTTGTTTAAGCCCATAGAGAGACTTTTTAAGCTTGCACACCATTTTGGTATGATCAACTTTGAATCCCAGTGGCATTTTCATATACACTTCCTCTTCAAGGTCTCCATGAAGGAAAGTATTGTGTACATCCATTTGATGCACTTCCCACCGTTTAGCTGCCACCACTGCTAGAAATGCCCTCACAGTCACCATCTTGGCTACTGGAGCAAATGTTTCTGTGAAATCCACCCCTTCTACATGGTGATTACCAAAAATGACCAGGCGAGCTTTGTATCGTTCTACGGTTCCATCAGAATTGTATTTGATCTTATAAACCCATCTACAGCCAAGTGCCTTCTTTTTATGAGGTAGTGTAGTTACCTCCCATGTTTTATTATCTTCCAATGCGTCAATTTCTTTCCTCATGGCTTCCCTCCATCTTTCATCTTTCACTGCCTCATGGAAGGATTTTGGCTCATTTTCGACACTAATAGCTGCAAGAAAATTTCGATGGTGCAAAGAAAATTTATCACAATTTACATCATGTGCTATGGAATAACACGTACCAGAGGCATGCGATGGAGTAGGCAGCGGGGTGGATGGGCTCAACTTACAAATAGTGTTAGTCACATAGTCTCGTAACCGCACTGATGGCTGCTTCACTCGATGACCATGCCCTAATTGACTATACTCATGAGACTCATCATTTTTCTCTTCATCCCCTTGTTCTATCAGATTTTCATTCCCAATTCCTATCTCATTCTCGCAAGTTTTCCCCATGTTGTCACACTCTTTGTCATTATCTTCACCAATCACTTTTCTTACTTCTTCTTCATCACTTATGTTCATGCCGCACTCAATTCCAAATTCCATTCCATCACCATACCCAATCTCATCATGTTCAATTCTAAAATTTGTGTCCCCTTGATCGAAAGGAAATTCATTTTCAAAGAAATCAACATCACGAGACACAAAAAATACTTTTGTATCCAAGTCATATACTTTCCATCCCTTTTTTCCATAAGGATATCCAACAAAAACACATCTTCTGCTTCTACTTGCAAATATATCTCTTCTACCTTCTTTGTCATGTGCATAACACAACGATCCAAACACCCTCATATGAATATACACAGGCAACTTTCCATACAAGATCTCATAAGGCGTTTTTCCATTTAAAATAGCAGTGGGTGTCCTATTTATTAAATATCCAGCAGCCAGCACACATTCTCCCCAAAATTTAATAGGCAAACATCCTTGAAATCTTAATGCACGTGCCACATTCAAAATATGCCTATGCTTTCTTTCTACCCTTTCGTCATGGATCAAGGCTGCGTACACCTTATTTAGGGACGGCAGAGGTTCTGTTGCCAGCATGTTGGTCCTTACAGTGCCATAGCTTGCCTCATCCAAACCCATCAAAAATTGATGCACCTTTTCCTCTTCTCTACATTTTTCAAGTTTTGCCGAAATGTCACATTTGCATCCATCACACAAACATGTAGGGATTTGGTCATAGTTAGCCAAATCATCCCAAAGTGCCTTCAACTTTCCATAATACGCAACTATGGACATCCCACGTTGTTTGCACTCACTCAACTCGGTTTTGATCTGCTGAATTCGCGGTCCGTTTGCAACAGAAAATCGCTCCTTAATGTCATCCCACAGATCCTTTGCATTTTCCATGTGTGAGATGGTTGTGCGCAAGTCGGAGTCGATAGTATTTTGAGTCCATGACACCAACATGGACTGAACAGTCCACCAATCGTCATATACAGACGATTCCTTGTTAGGTTCTGGTATGGTTCCTTCTACGAAACCCCATTTTCGTCTAGCCCGCAACGATGTTCGAACGGCGCGAGCCCATTCATCATAGTTCTCATCACCACGTAGTCTGACTTGGGTGATGACGTTTCCAGGATTATCATTTGAGTTCAGATCATAGGGAGAAATCACTCTCTTCACTTATTCCACTTTCTTACTGTCAGCTTCAACTATTGGCTTTGATGCCATGTTAGTGCAGTAAGAAACAAAGGCAACAGAATAAAAGGAAGAGGAGTTCTCTGTGTTATTTTTGTGTTTATTCACTGTGACCAGAGCAAAATATATATACAAAGATATATTCCCAATCTTACCTAAAACAATTTAAAACAATCTACCTAAAACATGGTAAGAAATAAATCTCTACCAAAATATTATACAGTACTACCAAAATAATATACAGTATATGATCTTTACATATATAGCATAATATTACTGCTATTACTCATGGAACTTGCCTTCCACGTGGTCAACTTCATCCTCATTTTACTCAGGATCGAGGCAAACATATTCTTGGAGACCCGTTTGTGTAGTAACGAAATACCAAGATAAGAGTCAAGATGGGACGAGATAGTGATACCCGTGGTGGATCCAATGCTTCACTTAGTACCTGCACAACTATTAGGGGAACAGAAAATCTGATATTTAGCGAGGTTTACCTTGAACCCGGAGACTTTGCCCAATCAATTCAGATAGTCCATCATAATCTTCGCTTGTCGCTCGGAGGCTTCTCCAAACAGCATGAGATCGTCAGCGAAGAAAAGGTGGGAGATACCAACCCCTCCTTGGCGATGAAATGGGTTTCCAAGACCCCAAAGACACCTCTCGCTGTATATCATAAGCTAACATTTCCATGAAAAGATTGAACATATACGGTGTTAAAGGTTCCCCTTGTCACAATTCCCTTCCTAGCACAAAAAGCGGGAGAGGAGAGATCCCCCATTCCAAAGGATCGAGATACTACTTTCTCTGAGGGGGAAGAGAATAAGATCAATGATTTTGAATAGATTACGTTTTCAAATGTAGTATTTGACTATCTGTTAATATGGCAAATTATTGTGTGCACCACAATCTAAAACGACGTCGTTGAATTTTATGAGTTAGAATAATGTACATTATGAGTTAGAATAATGCACATTATGTGTTAGAATAATGAAACTTCTAGGGTAAGATAATGTACATTATGTGTTAGAATAATGTACTTTATGTGTTAGAATAATGTACTTTATAAGTTAGAATAATGAAACTTTTGAGATAAGATAATGTACATTATGTATTAGAATAATGTACTGATATAATCTCATTTGTATATGTTTTTCTTGGTAACTTGAATCAATTTGAGGGCTTAAGTTCATTAGATTGTCATGTTCAATACCTATTTTCCTTGCTTTCTCATTAGGATATGGTTTTAAACTTGCTTTGAATGTTTTATGGTGTTTGGTATGTAGTGTTTTTAAATCATTGTAGGACTAGTGCAAAATCAATGGAGGTCTTTTAAACATAAGTGGAGCCAAAATGAAGTGGAACAAAAGCAAGGGTGGTCTTTCGACGCGTCCAAAATTTCCAGCAACTAAGTCAGAATCTTTATCGAAGGTTTGATGCGTTGAGCCCTAGGCTCGATGCTTTGAAAAATTCCAGTACGCGATCCTGAGGACGGCATTGAAGACTTGACGCGTCGAGATTGCGAACTCCAGAATTTTCAATTGCGCAGAATCTTCCTAAACTACCCCCGTTTGGTTCCCAGTATAAAAGGACTACCTTACATCAACCCTGGGAAGTCAAGCTGCGTTTTGGGGGAAAGAATAGAGCAAAAAGCAAGAAGAACCACATCAAGAATGACAATTGGCTTTGGAGTAGCGAAATCACTAGGAAGATTCGATCGGGAGAGTTCTTTCCCTTTTTCTTTTACTTCAATAGTTGATTGTGAATTCTCTGAAATTGTATTGAATGCTATTATGGCCATGAGTGACTAAAACACCTTAGGGATTTTTGGGTGAAAGTGTTTATGAACCTATGTGCCTAGAGATTAATTTCATTAATATATTTACGTTTGGATTTATTACTTGTGTTGCAATTATGAATCATATTGTTGTTGCTAGTAATTAAAGGCCTAAGTTATTTGCTTAATAGCCATCTTCATGTCATAACGGGAGTTAGACATAATTTATGACACACACGATTGCACTTAACTGTTGCACCTTGGGAAAAATGGTATATTTGTTGAGGAATTTATTTTTGATTATTGCGCATCGGGAGATGGTAGTAGTTAGGATTCATGAATGCATGTTCTTAATTTGTTCGAGTGTTTATATCCTGGGAGCGATTATTCACTTATTTTAGGTTGGAGTTACGGGAGTGATTTCCTTTCCTAGTTTGCATTCTCACACTCGTTTGAACCCAAATTAAATATTGCACCTTTGATTGGCGCTAGGTGATTAAACACTTGAATCCCAGGAATCCCACTTTTGCTCTATTGTTTTAAACAACATGTTTATCTAGTTTATTTTAATTTGCTATTCTTTTACAATTGCCAAATCATCTATTTCGTTAGGATTAGCTTCTCGTGAGTAATTTAATAGCTAATGCTTAGTACGCCCCTCTTCCATGTGGATTATTGATAACTCGATACTCCGGGTATTATTTGTTTGTCAAATTATACTGCAATCAATGTTGCAAAATACGTTAGCCGCCTCCTAGGCGCCTAGGCGCCCGATTAATTTTTTTTTTAATTTTTTTAAAAAAATTAAATTAAAAATTGTAAAAGTTCACTAATAAAACATAAGGTTCCCATAGTTTTTTCTTAAGAACTATTTATTTAAGTGGCTATAAAATTGTTCAAAATATTGTTAAAA